GAGGATACCCGGTAACTCTGAAGTTGAGCAGCGCATCGCCCACAGTCTGGCATGTACGTAAAGAGGCCATTTATACGTACGTGTCTTTGCCACATGCGCGAAGGATAGAGTTGGCGAGGGTTTGATGAGAGCACTCTGCGTGTCCGTTTCCTTCAGGATGATAGGGAGTAGAGGTGATAACGACGACGCCGTATTGCTTGAAGAGGATCTCGACTGCACCTCTGAATTCTTTTCCACCATCAACGAGACAAAGGAGTACAGAACCGAAACGCGCGTAGACTTCCTCGTATAAGAATTTCGCCCAATTTTCGGAAGAGTTCTTCGGTACAGAACGCGCCTCCACCCAAGACATGGCGGGGTCAGTAGCCTGCAAAAGAAACTTGTGGCTGCCAAAGCCATCAGGCATGTGAATAGTATCGAGATCAAACCTTCTTAAAATTCCCACTAGTGGGTACCACCTTTATCATAAAAATAAGGTAACTGCCTAGGGCTCCCTGTGTATAAGTCCACAGTCTTTATGATAGGATTCATTCCAGTTACCATGCATTTTCATTAGGCAATTTTCATTAGCTACTTGGCCAATATCATTGTGATTTTCATTACATACCTGGGCGATATTATTCGAAATTTCATTAGCTACATGGGCGATATCATTTACGATTTTCATTAGTTATCTGGCCGATATCATTCTGATTTTCATTAGATACCTGGCGATATCATTGGAATTTCATTAGCTACATGGGTAATATCATTTGCAATTTTCATTAGAAACCTGGGCGATATTATGGGAAATTTCATTAGCTACTTGGTCAATATCATTGCAATTTTCATTATTTATCTGGCCAATATCATTGCAATTTTCATTAGAAACCTGGGTGATATCATTGGAAATTTCATTAGCTACTTGGTCAATATCATTGCAATTTTCATTATTTATCTGGCCAATATCATTGCAATTTTCATTAGAAACCTGGGCGATATCATTGGAAATTTCATTAGCTACTTGGTCAATATCATTGCCATTTTCATTAGAAACCTGGGTGATATCATTGGAAATTTCATTAGCTACTTAGTCAATATCATTGTGATTTTCATTATTTATCTGGCCGATATCATTGCCATTTTCATTAGAAACCTGGGCGATATCATTGGAAATTTCATTAGCTACTTGGTCAATATCATTGTGATTTTCATTATTTATCTTGCCAATATCATTGCGGTTTTCATTATTTATCTGGCCGATATCATTGCAATTTTCATTAGGTGCCTGGGTGATATCATTGCAACTTTCATTAGCTACATGAGCAATATCATTGCGATTTTTCAAATGTAGCCCTGGGTATTTCATTGCGATTTTCCAAATGTGGCCCTGTGCATTTCATTGCGATTTTTCAATGGATACCCAGGGCATGAATGCTTTGAATACAGAACATCAGGCACTACCTTCAGGGTCCACTTCAGGGTCCATCCCAAAAGGGAAATATCACCTGGTTTGACTAAAAAGTGAAGAAAACCAAGAGGAGAATGACTTTACCTATCAGGGTCCATGTAAGAGGATGTTGGGATGATGGTCACATGACCAATTACCAAAAATGGTCAAAAAGCGAAAGTTGTAGCCCTATACTGTAGCTTCCCAAATCTGTTTGAATTATGTTCTGAAGTGCTCCTGTTGTGGAGATATGAGGTAAAGGAATTTCAAAAGTGTCGTGTTTTTTTTTTGTTCTTTGTGTTTTTCTCAATGAAAACAAAACCAAATAACATGATTTCAGTATATTTAGAAAGCTAAAAGAAAGGGCTACAATTGTTGTATCGTGGGAAAAATGACCAAAAAAGGAAGTACTATAAGAGTCAGATATAGACTACCAAGTTTACTGATAGACTACAAAAAAGTCGGACTTAGACTACACAGTTTACTGATAGACTATAAAAGACTATAGACTACCAAGTTTAGTGATAGCCTACAAAAAAGTCAGACTTAGACTACAAAGTTTGTAGTGTTCATTTTTTCATTAAAAAAGTTTGTGTTGTGTGCTTTTTAAGACTACAAAAGTTTGTCATGTCCGCCTTTTCATTAGAAAGTTTGTAGTGTGCACTTTTTGAGACTAGAAAAGTTTGTAGTGTCCGCTTTTTGAGACTACAAGTTGCCATGTAGTTTGTGGTGTCATTGACGCTGTCTAGGTTATGGGCATGAGGTTGAAGGATTGCCATGATATTGCCAGTGCTGCAGCATGAGTTTTTGACATTATGCACAGGTTGTCTTTCACATTAGGAAAGGCTATTCTAAGCCTTTCATATTGATACCTACTGTCCTATCTTAAAACATAATTATGAGTTCATGTGGAGATATGGCTGAAGGATTGACATGACATTGCCAGTTTTTGACATCATGACCAAGTTGGCTTTCACACTGTCTGCTTTCACATTCATAGCTACTGGCCTGTCCCAAACATAGTCAACTTTGATACAGCTCTTTGAGGGCCATAGGATGATGGGCTGATTCATCCTTGGAGGTGTCTTTAAGTCAGGTCATGTTGTAAGTTGACCATGTATTGAGTAGATATCAACATGAATAGCCTCCTCTAGCTTGAAAGCCAACTTGGGCATGATGTGAGAAACTGATGATGTGGCAATAGCAATATGTCAAGTCATGTCAATCCTTCAGCCATATCCCTACATGAGCTTACAATTATGTTTTGAGATAGGACAGTAGGTATCAATATGAAGGCATAGAATAGCCTTTCCTAATATGAAAGA